TTTTTTTCCCATTAGGGCGGGTGGCAACACGTCTGCATTCGAGCCCTCCAACTCCAGTGATGATCGTGAATGGATTCATGACAGCTGCAAATCCATTGGAAAGTGGGCTGCTTATTTGAGTCACGTCAAAATGGTATCCAGGAAAAGAAATTAATTGGCTGGTCTGGAAAACCAGAGAATCTATTTAATTCCCTGACATATGAGCACGATAACCTTCCCAACCATGTCTGGCATGGGGATAATCTGTTTTTGGACATGCTTCTAATTTGAGCATTTCCAGCAGTCCAGCAGCAAGCAGCTGCTTGTCAGTTATTAATTCTGCAGAATCCATTTTCTGGAGTTTTACTAAAAATGGCTTACCACGATAAGATAGAATATTAGACCATTCTCCACCAGGGAATGGGTTAAGGGAAGATGAAGAGTATTCTCATTTCCTAAGAAAACTAGTTCAATCATGTGATCATATTAGCAGGCCAAGGTCACATTATTTTTTTGTTTTTATGATTTATATGAATTTCCTGGTTTTATTACTTGTATTGAAGCAAGTTCTCTTATATTTTCAAATGTATCCTTTTGCGGTAATATGCTTTTGTACAGGAAAAGTGCATATTTTGATGTTTGCAGTGCTCTGCTGCCCTCCAGTTATTTGCTAAGGAGCTAGTACGTAGGCCTTTTTTTTCTTAGCTCGCTTTGAGAGCTTCTTCATCAACCCATTTGTTATGCACATGGTCACTTTGGGTTCTCCATTTATAATCTGATTAGAATCCTCCTACTGTTTGCTGCCTGCTAGCACTCTTGACCTTATCTCACTTTAAATCTATCACTTGCTGCTTTTTGTCAGTTGAGAACAGCATGAAGTTGTTTATTGCATGATTGTCATACTTTTTTCAGAGAAATTTTCATAGACTTCATGCTCACAAACAGTAATTTAATAACCATGTTCCTAAGTTGAAATAAGCACTTTTGCTAGGCAAATCTTGCATTGTGTCAGATTATGCCATCCTTGCCATTCCACATATAGGTTGTGGTATTCAACAACGTCCCAATAGAAAAGGGAATTCCTCTGTGGAGGTGCACTGAGCAGAGCCTATATTTGGGGCAGAATTTAATATTAATTTGCACATTGGACACTGACATCATTCATGTACTTCACCTTCATCTATACAAATTTACCATAGCTGAAGTTGCACAGTTCCTATTATTGTGAATGGAACACCTGAATGATGGTCAGGGTCTGACAATATGGGAGCAACTGGAAACCTTTTTTTTTTGCTATCAAGAAGTACCAGATCAGATCTCATGTGTTCACATCAGGTGATTGTTTACCAAGTATCATTATCATTGTGATCATGAACATTTTAGAATTGTAAGTTCAAATTATGTGTCCCCCTCTTTCTTTTAGTGATGTTGATGTGCATTGAGACCATGACTGCTTATTTGGCCATGGGAATTTGCCTTAGCTCTGCTTGTGTCAAGATCTTGTGAACTATGATCACTTCAGAAGTATCGTTGTGGATATTTTCAAATGTTTGTTGTACATCTCTCCAGTGATTGCATCTTGAAGTCAAAATGCAACGAAATAGGAGTTCCATTTCAATCTGAAATTTCACACCTGTCATGAATGTTGGCAGGCATTCTGTGATACCTGTCATTTGCCCCTCATACATCTGTTGGCACACTAGCATTACTGTAGCTCGCATGTTAACCTGTTGAAAAATTCAAGTCATGAAAGTGTCATTCTTGGTGTTGAGCTTTTTTGGAAATGGATGCATCGAGTTTCTTCCTCCCATGATAATATGAAAGATCCATGGTGATATGCAGAGTTCCTGTTGGTTTCACTTCAAGTTTTTACAGTAACGAGGTTGGGTGAACATCACGTCTCACGAACAGGAATGGTTTTTTGACGTGTTTCAATTGTGCTCCATTAAAAGCAAGCCACAGTTACCAATGACATGTCCATGAGTCCTTAGCTTTCTGCAAGAAATTCAGTGTAATAGCAGTGATTTGTTCCCAAGTTCATTCGTTGAGTGCTAATGTGATTCATTAAGTCTCCTCACAAGAAGCAGCGAAATGAAGTCAGATCTGAGGGGTCCATTCAGCAGGCCCTTGTAGGCTCTCCCTATTGAGGGAACCATTCATCCATCCAATCATGAATAGTTAGTAAGAAATGCAGAGAAGCACCATCCAACTAATATTACTTCCATAGAACGGCCTTTGGAAGTGACCGCATTACCTGTCGATGCACAAGGTGGACCACTACTGGAAAACCTCATCTGCTAATATGAGTCGTCCATAGTCCCATGATAGCTGAAGCTGGCTGTAGTTTTTGAGTAGGGGTGCACCATATCATCCCAATGAGAATAACTGGGGCAAACCTGAACCAGCTTTCCCAATGCAGCTGCTAAATGAGCTCAGAAATGTCAGAGGAGAAAGGAGAGTGTATTCACTACGGGTGATCTTTGCATTAAAAAACCCTGATCCTCAATTTGTTAAACTTGGCTCTCCGGTCAATTCATCTTATTTTTCACATGATTTTGCCATGTGTATGATTGCAAACATGAATACAGTCACTGATACTCATTCCACCACCATATCTCTTTCTTCTAAAGGCACTTCCACGTCTCTTGATCTCGAATGGAGAATCTCT